ATTAAAAGTTCTCAGTATACTGAAGAAAATAAATAAAAAATAAATAAATTTATGACTACAATGGAGCCTGTCCATCATGGTCGTAAATTGTGATGGTCATAAATCAGGTCACCCACTTGACCAACCCGATTTTATGACTTTTGCGGCAGTTTTTGCTGAAAACCAGAAATAAATGCCATAAATGTGGTCATGTGATTGTGGGGGTGGCTTTTAGAACTTTAGAACGAAGTCGTAAGTATCCACAGGGACTTCTTCATAACTTTGAATAGTTGCTATGCAATTGGTTGTAAGTCAAAGACGACCGTAAACACATATTCCATTTCTCTTTGTTTTTCAGAAAGAAAAAATAGAAAATACAGGAAGATTATAATTAAAAGTACCAAACACAGTACCGAAAATGGAGGTGGATGGCTGCACAATAAAACATTATCTGGTAGGCTTATTCACTTTGGCCAGCCTTGCCCAACTTCAGTTTACTATACATCAAATTACGAATCCCTTCAATCAAGGCCCAAGATCGCTGCTAAATGGAAATCATGACAGGTGCACTTCTGAAGAATACCAATGTTAGAGAAAGCTGGCTTCAACCTATTTTCAGATGTGAAGTTGGTTACATCATTACTTGAGACCGGAATGAGTAATTCACCTGATCAAGTTTTTAAAATATTTCCTGCAAAATGAAAGGGAGGACTTTCTTAACATTCTCAAGGTATCAGCTTTTCTGTTGAATATTTTAGAACAACAAAGGAGCTGTGGCAAGTAGATTGCACATCTACAGCTAATGTGCCAGCTGCAATCATTCATGAGCCAGTCAGAATTGATGAGCTATGTATTATTATTATTAATTTATATTATTATTTATTTACTATTTTTAGAAACAACTCAAGAAGGCGAACATATATAATGCTCCTTCTTCCTATTTCCCTGCAATCACCCTGTGAAGCAGGTCTCTTTGTTACAACCAGTGGTGAAATCCATTTTTTTTTTACCACCAGTTCTGTGGGTGTGGTTTGGTGGGCATGGCAGGATACTGCAAAATCTCCATTCCTACCCCCACTACTGGGGGAAGGATATTGCAAAATATCCATTCCCACCACACTCTGGGGCCAGCCAGAGGTGGTGTTTGCCCCTTCTCCAAACTACTCAAAATTTCTATCGGTTCGCTGAACTGCTCAAAAAAAATTCTGCTACTGGTTCTCCAGAACCTGTCACAACCTGCTGGATTTCACCCCTGGTGTGAAATCCAAAGGGAACACTGAGATATAATCTATGTGGAGCTAGTTTGGAGAACCAAAACCCCTTTGGCCTTCCATAAGGCTCCAAAAATGTGGCTTTCTAAAAGTTTGTGCCTGCTTCTGGGGCTCTTAATGTATTAAGGGCCCGATCTCTTGGCTTTTATTGCTAAAATTGGATAATTACCTCAGCTACCCTCCCTCTCTCCCCCCCTCCTTCCCTTCCTCCTTCTCTTTCTCTGTGTGCTGTTTTCATCAGTTTAAAACGTTTTATTGTTTTGGAATTGTAAGCTGCCCAGACTCTGGGTTGAGATGGGCAGCCGTAGAAATTAATTAAATAAATAGAAATTAGTTTAACAGATGCAATCCGATCACAGCAGGAAAGAGGGAGGAAGACTCCGGATTTTCCACTTTCAGTTTTTTTTTCTTCTCCTTCCCAAGCGAGACTAAGGTTGGGGGGGGGGCTCACTCGTCGGATCGGGGCTTACAGGGAGGAAAGGGCACAAAGGAAGCGCTCTTTTCAGTTTCCACAGACGGCAAGGTGCCCGGTTTCCAAGCGAATTGGCTACCGGGCCATGAAGGGCTGCCCCTGTGCCCGACCACCTCATGTTCTACTTAAGTGTAGGAGAGAATCTGGACGGCACAAATCAAGTTCCCGGCCGGCTTCACGCTCACCTGCGGTGACCCACCCCCCCTCCAAGGCTCTCCGGGTTTAATACCGCGGAGCCCCTGCCTGGTAGTTTCGGGCTACGACCAGCGGCAACCAGAATGGCTGAGAAAAGCCGCCCCTTTGGGGGCGCCTCCTCATGCTGGCTCGGCTGCGACTCCACCCGACGGGGACTCGCGCCTGCTTATTGCCATCACTGGCGGGAAAAGCGGCGGACTGAGGCGATGGCGGCTCCCCGCAAAGTTCTCTTGTGGAACGCCGTTGCCAAGGCCGCGCGTGGCCCTCCCCGGAGGGTGCCCATTATCGCGGCGACCTTCCTTCTCGCGAGGCGCGTGGTGTTTGCGCGCGCTTTGCGGGGCAGAAGGGCGCAAAGCGGGTGGATTTGCCTTTTTTCCTTTCTCGAGGCGTTCGGCTGCCTCAGGAACGTTGCACTGTACTCTTGATTTTTCATAACTTTGGACTTTATTAACCGTGGTCTTGTTTTGAAAAAACACACATACGAAGAGAAACACACACACAACTGACTGGTGCTGTGTCATCCTAAACCTTGGTTTGACTATTACACGAAATTGGCTGTATTTCTGCACCACATAATAAAAAGACAGGATGGTATAATACATAGGGGATTCTCATTTAATATGATAATATGCCAAGCCATAAAACTTGATTGACAAGCCTCAGCCCAAATCCACCAGTGTAGATTCCTTTCGGGGCCTTGCATTGTGCAATGCAGTGTGCTATTATTTGTTTTAATCACAATGCAGAGGAATGCAGAAGACTGGGAGCTTAATTCCGATTTAACGTATTTATTTTGATCTGGTATATATCCACATTGTATACCATCTACTACTTGTGACTACAGGCTGTTTAGTGTACATAAAACTCTAACCCATTATGGTCTTTTGTTCATATTAAACCATATTAGCCTTATTTACAACAATAAAGTTATATTAAAAGTAAGGTAATAAATAGAAAGAAGGAAGGAATTACAGTGGAACAAATAACACTCATCTCCCAAAAGTTCTCTAATTTTTTATACTACCAGTAGTTTCTAGAAGGACATTAGTGTGCATGGTTATTTGACTTCAAGAAGGAAGTCATTCTCTAACATATGGCTTTCTATAGGAAAACTTCGTGGGACCATTAAGATATTTTTTTAGAGAGCATTCACCAGATGGCATGGATGAGTCTTATTGCCAACAGCTGCTCAAGACCAAGGTCATTATGTATAGACTTGGCCATTGTGGTTTGTAAAACTATGTGACGGTAATCAGCAACCATGGACTCCAGTTGTATATTTATATCTCCAGATCTCCCATATTGCACTGCTGAAAACTAGATTTTGGCAACATGATTTTTCTTCACTTTCATTTACATATGCCTAAAATAGTAGACTAAGCCTGCTGCACTTTAATTTTAAAGCATTTTAATTTGGTAGCTAAAGTACAGCAATGAACAAAAAATGATTAATAATTTTAATTAAATAATTGTCATGACTTTGGAGGCCAGGTTTATTTATTTTAAGTGTGTGCCTTAGTCCCAAAAAAGGTTACTGCCTCTTGGTTTATTTCTTTGTATTCTGCTGGAACACAACTATTTGAAATTATGCATATGTGATTACTGAAGTCAACCTCAAGAGCTAGACTATTCAAAAATTCCTAGAATAAGTGCCATTAAATTAACAAGAACTCACTTCTGAGCCAATAAATACTAAAAACCTAACCCCCTTTCAACAATATAGAGCCATACCCATTAATTAATTACAGTAATTTAAATAAGATTGGAAGCGTTTTCAAACAGACATTTCCTTTTATTACCGTTCAAAAATATTTATGGTTTTTCTGTCTTGCTCATTGATGGAAATACTTTGTAGAATATAAATTAAAAACAGCAATATTTGGATTTCCTCCATATGTCAGTTTGAGAAGCAGAACGGTTCTATAGTAACAGCCTCACACGGAAGCCTCATTATTATAAGACTGAATTAGTCCATGCTATGGAAGGATAAAAGCTTCTATTTCATTGAAGTGTCCAGTTATGTCTGTTTATCTGGGCTGAGTCTGTTTTGGTTACAGAGTCTGTGGGACATTGAATCCTACTATTTGAAAGTTATATTCATCTCCCTCCTGGCATGTTATGGTCTCTCAAGAGGCGATATTTAGCTATGTCAAGTGGTAGTAAATGTCCCCTTTTAGGATGGAGTGGCTCCCCCTGTCTTTAGGGAAAGTAGGTGAGAAGGTGCTGGTAGGGCTGCAACTTCAAATAACTCTGTAGGAAGCATCTGGACCCATAGCAGTCAGAGTTCAGGTTGGGATATAGCACAGATATGGCACTAATCACACTTTTGGATGACCTTTGAAGAGCTCAGTTTGGAGGAGTGTACCTGTCCTGGCCATTCTTGATCTGTCAATGGCTTTACAATTGATTCTGGGCCAGCTGAGGGGGCTGGGAGCAGGAGACCCTGACTTCTTCCATTGTTGCTTTCAGTTGGTGTTTGGGGAGGGGGGGAGAGATTCAGCTTCAGCCCTCTGCTAAAATTATTCATTTCTGCCCCAGGCCATCCAGATGATGCTGTCAAAGTGCTTTCTTAATGCCTGGAAGTTTTGCATTTCTAGATAGGGTTAAACTGTGTAGAGGGAGTAGGGAATGAACTTTGAAGGACAGGAGGAAGATTTACCAAGATTTATTAAGATAAGTAGAACTTGAATCTGGGCCAAGAAACTGACTTGAGAAAACTATTACATGAACATAAATGACTAAGAGAATATTAAACATGGATATCTCACTTCTAATCCAATATCTTAATCTGTACACCACACTGACTTTCAGAAGTATTACAGCCACAGAGGATTTGGCCTTTATTTGTCATGTTCTCTCTGTTTTCTTCTCCCTTCCTATCCTCTTTTTCCAGTGAAAGGACAAAAACTCAAATTCTCTTCTTTCTGCATATTGAAGCACCTATGTCATTTAAGATTTTTTTCTAAAATTTCCAGAGTTTGTGCCCTTTATTGTCAGTAGAGGGAGCTGAACGTATTTCTAATAAAACCTTTGACATATTTTTGATTTTCCTACATATAAATTTATATTTGTTGACAGGGTAGGGAGGGAAGAAGATAGGGAAGCATGCACACTATCTCTACAGAAGAAGCAAAACTCATGCATCTTCAGTTGCTCAAGCACTTGAATGCATCAAACCATGACAAATAGGGTAAGCTTTTTTCATTTACATCTTTCTACCACATTTGTATATGTTCGTTTTCAATTTGTTTTATCTTTAATTATAAAAAAGCTCTCAGATAGATTTATAGTACTCATTTTTACAGCCTGTGAATATCTCCTAATTTGCTTATACAATTTGAGGGAATGAGCTAGTTTGGCTTAATGGTTAGGACACCAGGCTAGAAAATAGGAAACTGAGTTAAAGTCCCATCTTAGCCATGAAAGCCAACTGAGTGACCTTCAGCCAGTCACTGATTCTCAGCTCAATCCAACTCATAGAGTTGTTGTCGTGGGGAAAATAGAAGGAGGAATGTGTGTTGGTTATGTTCACCACCTTGAATTATTTGTAAAAATAATAAAGGCAGATATAAATAAATAAAATCTGACATTTAATCACTTTTTAAAAATAAATGTATTATTGCCATCAAACTGTAGCATTTTCCCTTGGTTATAGTAATTCTGAGGCTCTGCTGTATATTCTTCAATGGATCGGGATATAGGACTTTCAACTTTTCTACACTCCTATATAAAAGTGAGGGGGAAGCACAATTTATAGTAGGTGGTGCTTAAGGAAATGCCAGGAGAAAAGTGACTGCACTTTGTATTAAGGAATTTGGTCTTAACTCTGGTTTCATTAAAGTCCGTATCTTATTACCTAAGGATATACATGTGGACTGTAATTTGCATTGGTTAGAACAGAATTAAGTAGTTTTACTGTTCTGTCACTACAAGATATTTCTGAAGCCTGTCAGCATGTTATCATTTGAAAGATCTCCCTGAAAGTACAGATATTGTCTGTGTCCAGTCTGTGAAATCCTGTACTCCCATATAAATTTTCATTGAATGTGGAGCCAACATTTAGGAGTAGCTGGAAAGTGTGAAGAGGAAAGCCACAAGAATTCATGTCTACCACAAGCTCTCTAAATTAATTGATAGCATGATCATATATATGTTTACTATGTTAAGGAGGGTTTCCTCTGATAAGTGTGCAGTATAATGAATGCCTAAAGTAAATATTGCTGAGGCAATCCCATATTTACAGTCTGGGAGACTAACACCAGTGAGTTGCAGTACAGATTCATTCTCTAAATTTGCAGAAACATCCAGTATCTATTTTTATTATTCGCTGATTTGAAACAGATGCTGGTCCACACTATAATGTTTCTATCCAGCAAAATATTTCTGTCCTCAATAACAAGCCAAGTTACTCAATTGGGGTGGGGTTGGTATGTTTATTGCAACCAGTTTCTATCCAAGCTGAGAGCTGCTGCAGCCGCTAAGACACAGGAATATCATTGGCCAAGTTGTTGGCAAGATGGAAGAAATAAGGAAAATAAAAAAGACAAAAGAGACAGAGGGAAGCTTTTAGTATGTAATTAATTTTCACATAATATTTTTAAAGAGTCAAATCAGCTGCATTCAATTCTACAGCATTAATGGCTAAGAATCTAGGTCACATTTCGAAAGGTAGAGGATAGAATTTCCATAATTTGCTTTCCTCTTGTGTTTTGTTATTCTTTCTTCCTATTGTTGTTGTTGTCCTTGTTGCTGCATAGATTTAGTGGTATCTGTTACTAACACGAAGGCTCCTATTTATTTTACACAGTGGCTGGTTTCCCAAAAAGCGGGCTTGGGCCTGGTTGGTACTGAATGGGAGACCACTAAGAATTCTAGGACCGTAGGCCAGATTTAGGAAATTTTTAAAAAAACTTTGCAAGAAGACAAATCACTTATGTATTTCTGTCAAGAAAATTGCATGTGTATTTCCATGAAATGATCTGGTCTGGAGCTCAGAATAAGAATTTTTACCTTATTTTGTATACTTGCTTTGCCTTCCATAGGAGCTGAGGTTCAACACATCTGAAAGGTATGAAATTAATTGCTGGAATAAAAGTAACTTGAACAAAACAAAGTTGAAGAATTAAGAAATCAGAAACCACTGTATCTTCTCAACAGAATGAGATCTTAAGTCTGTTAGATCAGCATTGCTAATGATTGGGGATGATAGGCCTTACAGTTCATCAACACCTGGCAACCACATTTTTCCTAATCATGTTATATACAGTACAGCTCAATGGAGGGGGATTGGCCTTTATGATTTTACTGAAATGCTGAGAAAACACATATTAGAAATATTCAATGCCTTGGATTTGTTTTCAAAAAATATGTTCTGTTCAGGAGAATGTAGGTAAGATCTGCTTGCAACTTTTTAAAACAGCAGCCCTTTTCCTAACATCATGCAGCTGCCTGCTGCTGATTTTGAGAAAAGACATAGCCCCCAAAGCATTTTGGGGGAGAATTGAAGCGTTGCCTAGGTTTAATGAAGAGCATCATTGAAGCCCAATGCTCAACTTCTTTCTAGTGGGAATACTGTTATGCAGTGAGGAAGGGAGCAAGAGAGGGTGTCAAAACTAACAAAATGGTGAATGTGTCATCCTGATCCAAGCCCTGCCCCTTTTGTATGTGCAGCAATGTCAAAAGTACGATCAAAGGAGTAGGGCTTGAATTGTGACTCCTTACCTGACATCTTGCTACTTTTGATATCTCTGCAATATTGCACACCATGCAGACATTACTGATGTAATTAAGGTGCACTTATGGTTAAGGTGCTGGAACACATATGGTCAAGTCAGGATACTTTAAATCTACACTTCAGCTATCAATAGACACACAGAAATAAACCATATTTAGACACAAGAGACAACAAAAAAGTTAAGAAGGAAACAAAAAGACGTGAGCACGTTCTCTTTAGCAGCCAAGATCCAGATAAACAGGGATTAACACCAGACAAACAACCAAGCAGAAAACAATATCCTAATCGAGGAACTACCAAGGAGAAAACCATAATCCCACCAATACTGGCTGGGCAAACTACTGTATAGGAACAAACCCCACAGTCACTTTTACTGATGATATTACCTAGTTGGGTACTGAAATGTTGACAAGCAAGCAACTAAACTCAAAAGTTAGGTTTTTATATCTGAAGTTAATCTGCTTAGTTTTCTTCATAGCATTATTTGAAAGCTGTCATCTACCTTTTCTTATTTTTATTTTATAAATTCATGCTATGTGTTGCCTTTAATATATTAATATTATTCTAAGTCTGTTTTCATGTAGAAGAGAGAGGGTGAGGGAGAGGAAAGATTGGCTGGTTCAGACTATATATCACATGTAAAGTCCCTACTGATTTCACACATAATATTCTAAGCTAAAACTATACATATTTTAAACAGCATAAGTGAACTTGGCCAGTATGTTCACTTTGCAGTCAAAACCACTGAGAGCAGTGAAGCAACTGCCTTCTGAGAATTTTGTTGTTTATGAAATAGGCTAATGATAATATTACTTGTTAAAATTTCATCTTCTTTTTTTAAAAAGGGGAGCACATTTATGTAATTTACATTGTTGCCAGAAGAATAGGTGCAAATGCTATTTGGTTTAAATGCTATTCAGAGCTTCATGAGTAAACTAATATTTATAGGTCGTTATTGTAATTAGCTGAGAAGTGATTTACTCTGAATTTTGTCTATTCCTGGAAAAGGGAGTAACTTTGGCAGGCACAATTTGAAGGGCTTTCAGAATTTAAAAATGGCTATCTTGGGAAAGAACAAAATGTTCTGAGTGTGTTATGATCACAATGTTTTGGGTCTAATCACAGAGCACATAGGTCTACTCCGGTCATATTTTTTTTTTTCCTGTTCAGATACAGTCTCTGCATTTTCGTAGGGACACAACATATGTGTGTTTTCTAATATGTTATATAAAAACTTTACCAAGGGAACCCATAAATGGCTGCAGTTATATGGTCTTACTCAGTACAAATGTGGTTTGCATAATATCTGAAGTAGTCTATGGTTTCGGTCAAAATGTATAAAGCATTGGCAGAAATATAGATTTGCCTCATAGACAAGAAGGCTGCAATCATCTAACCACTTATCAGTGGGAAGTACTTACACACATAGGCTTGTGCTATAAGCTGTCAGAGGAATGGATTCAATCATGTAATTGCCCATATAATGAGTACTGTATACTTGAACTAGGGAAGCATAATAAGGGAGGTGCAGTGGAACCTACAGAATTCCTCATTGGGTATTGAGCTGTGGTGGCGCAGTGGTTAGAATGTAGTATTGCAGTATTGCAGGCAAACTCTGCCAACTGCCAGCAATTTGATCCTAAGTGGCTCAAGGTTGACTCAACCTTCCATCCTTCCGAGATTGGCAAAATGAGAACCCAGATTGTTGGGGGCAATATGTTGACTTTGTAAAGCACTTAGGATTGTAAAGCGCTGTGAAGCAGTATATACAGTAAGTAAGGGCTATTTCTATTGCTATTCACATCTTGTGCTAAAACATAATATGGTTTGTGGAGTTTTTGATTTCTGTAATGCGTGGACATTAACTATTGTATTTTTATTTTGTATCTGTTTCTCAAGTAGATTTATTTTGCAGTAAAGTTTAATACATTAATGCTTAATGCTCCATCATATACTTATTTTCATTTTGACTTTCTATAAACTTAGTACTGTACATCAGTATATGAAAAGGTTTCAGTTAGTCAACAGGTCCTCATACAACACTCATGACATTCATGAGACCATGAATAAATCTATGTTTTCTGAAAATGTTTCCTTGAAATTATGATTTGCCACTGAGCCTCTCTTAATTCCAGAACCAACCTGAGAAATTAAAAATGACTGGACAATGCTTACTTGCAGGGTAGAATTGATGGTCAAAATAATGAAGACCCCTGTATGTAAAATATCCCTCCAGTCTCATGAATGTCATGAGTGTTGCATGAGAACCGGTTCATCCCTATTTTCGTACAATGATGGTTTTTCTCCCTAATGGGATGGTTGTTTTTGCCCCTAGCAAAGCTAAATGAATAAAACAGGAAGCCCCAGACAAAATGAAGTTTGTAGGAAGAATAATAAGCTATGACCTGTTGTGGTTTTCATTTTGTATATTCTGTGGCATATTCTGTGGTGTTTGAGGCATGATCAACATTTTGCATTTTGTGCAAATACAATTTACTGATTGCTGATAGGAAGTTGATCAATTGTCTGGCAAGCTGGCACCAAGATGAGTACAGCCAGCCCACAAATTATACGTATCAGGTGATCAGCATCTCAAAGGCTTAGGTTCATGTATCCTCCCTCAATCACATTAAGGTTTACATTGAGTGCAATATGTCAACACAAATATTTGGAGATCAGCTAAGCAACCAGTATGGCAACATATCATAGTGAAAATCCTATTGCTGCTATAGCAAATAAAAAAGGAAGTTGCTTTTCTCCCTGTGTTCCTTTGGCTGTGATGCTTTATATCTCAATCATTTTGGAATAGAATCAGATAGCAATACTGTCTGCCTATAAATCTAAGGACTGCTGTGCTGTAGCTGGAGATGATTTGAGCAGATGAATAAACAGCAAGAAGTTGAGGAGAATCTGAGATTGCCTTGCACACCAGATGAACTATAAATTAATCTGAGTCCTGTTAGAGAATCTCCAAGCAGAAACTGGCATCCAAATCTGCAGAGGATAATTTATGACAGCAAGCTTGGTTTCTGTCTTAACAAACTACCCAAGAAATTTGAATTATAGATATACTGAAGAATGCTGGTGTCAAAGCAAATACAGTAAAAAGACTTCTGCATCTCTGCTGCCACCTGGTGGGAAGTGTGTAGGAAATGCAAAATGTTAATGGCAAAGCACAGCAACAAAACCAAAACTAATAACGCTTTCCTCTTTTTTAATACTGCAAATAAATAGAAAATAAAAGATGTAAAAATAAAAAGAAATAAAACTGTGCCAAAGCACATGCTTTAATTAGTTATCATCTAGAGAAACAAGGGGAAGAGAAGGCATGGGGATAGCCCTCTCAATGTCAAAAAGGAAAAGGTTAGAAAATAAGTTATTGTCAGTATGTAATGCAAGATATCCCTGTCCTCCCCTTTCACCTCCCAGCTCTGTCAAATGAATATCCCAATGATTCAGCTGCTTCTGCTGCTGTTCCTGTTCCTTGGACCATTTTGTTCACCTGCACCACGACTCTCGGTACGTAGAAGCTGGATACATGTGATAGGTTTTCTACTAACACCAAGAAAAGAATCCTGAGTGGCTATAAAATTGCTGAATATTTGGAAATTTTCTCAATTTAAGGAGAGTTAGCTTTTTTGATTTGGTCCACACTGAAGCCATTGCTGAGGATTATAATAGATTTACATTTAAATCTAAATATATAATAAACGCACCTGTCGTTCACTTGTTCAATAATGAGCAATTCTCTGTTGTGGTGTATAAGACTTCAGCCTGCTCCCTTTTTCAATCATGCTGCCTTCAATATGAAAAAGTCCTACATGGTATGGGCTAGCACACACATGCATATGCAGGGACACACACACACATATACACACACTATGCGTGTACACTAACCCTACTGGCATCCTATTGCTGAATGACCATAACTACCATAGATTGAACAAATACACAATCAAGGCTGAGGATCGTGTTAGGAACCTTTATCTTACTCTATCTTCCGGGTGCGCTTCAAGGTGCTGGTTATCACCTTTAAAGCGCTCCATGGCATTGGGCCTAGCTATCTTCGAGACCGCCTGCTGCTACCAACGACCTCCCATCGTCCCGTGCGCTCCCACAGAGAGGGCCTCCTCAGGATGCCATCAGCCAATCAATGCAGGCTAGTGACCCCCAGGGGGAGGGCCTTCTCTGTGGGGGCACCTACCCTCTGGAATCAGTTGCCCCCAGAGATAAGGAGAATCCAAGACCTTAGCGCTTTCCGCCGTGCCCTTAAAACCCACTTTTTCCAGCAAGCCGGGCTGGCTTAAGAAGAAATTTTAAATGTTTTAATTGGTTTGTATTTTTAATTTTGGGCCAAATTTATATATATTTTAATTGTTTTTAATATTTGTATTCCATGTTTTTTTAATTCTGGCTGTACACCGCCCTGAGTCCTCAGGGAGAAGGGCGGTATATAAATTTAAAATAAAATAAAATAAATAAATAAATAAATACAAAGTTAAAAATAGATGTGTTCTTCAGGCGAATATTTTTCCGCTTACTTTCAGAAAAAGGAGGAATGCCTCTTAGAAAACAGCAAACTACAGAAGAAGTTGAAAATGCTTCAAGATTTATTCCAGTTATGCGAATTTCAGTTGAAAGACTTGCTGGGGAACAATTATCACAGAAGAAAAAGCATAGTTTTCTCTGCCAGGAAGATGGTACCTCTGGATATATTTTTGCCCATAACTAGTGGAAGTCTCTTAGTCTATGATCAAGGTACACTATTTAGGGGATATATCTGTCTTTCTTGAGAATTATCTTGTTAGGATAGCCTTCTTTGGACTCTTGGTTTTCAGGCATATTATGACAGTTAGACCAATCAGTGGAACGACATGCCTTCAGAAGTTGTGGGTGCTCCAACACTGGAGTTTTTTAATAAGAGACTGGACAACCATTTGTCTGAAATGATATAGGGTTTCCTGCTTGAGCAGAGGGTTGGACCAGAAGACCTCCAAGGTCTCTTCCAACTATTATTCTTTTTTTTTTCTGTTCCAAACATCCTAAGAGCCATATTTCCTGGAGAAGTAGGGATTTGTAGTCCAAAATGCCTTGAGAGCAATTAATTGGGGATGGCTATATTGACCAGTGGGAACCCAAATGATTTGCAGCAAACATTAGAAAAATTGTATGATGCAGATGAGGTGTGTGGCTCTGGAAATTAATGTAACAAAGGTATATATAGTTGTTCACAAAGAAAATAGAATATACAGTCATACCTCCCCTTCAAAACTCGTCAAATATGATGCATTTTGAAGCAGAAATCTTATCCTGGCGCTAATCTTTCTCCTGGTAGTCGACATGCAAGGAAGAACTGGCTGATGTCCAGCTACCTAGTGACTAACTATTTCTAAGCAGAGGGATGGATGTGAAGACCTCCAAGGTCCCTTCCAACTCTGATATTCTATTCTATTCTTCTAGCCAAAATAGTGGGTCATGTGGTAAGTCACACAGTTTTCTCAGACCCACCGGTTTTAGTATTTGACGTGTCTTCCAGAACGAATTACTGATGAGCACCGAGGTACCACTGTATGACTGAAAAGTTTAATTTGTATACATTGAAAAAACATTTACTAAAGATGGGAAAATGAGAGATTTTAAATAGTATAAATCTTGATAGAAAGATGGCAAGTAGTACTACGTAATCTGTTGCAAGAAAAAAATGCTTGTTAAAGAAACAAAAAAGCTTGAATAAGAGTGAAATTCTGCCTATATCGTGAGAGTTGGGCAGGTCTTAAGAAACATAAAAGCAAGCTAAACACAATAGGAATGGATTGTTCAAGAAGTGAATGTGGTGAAGCCAAATTTAAGACCAAGAGTTGTTGATGAATGAGTGTGGATCAAGTACAAAAGGGAGAATGACCAGTCTGAAATAAATATGTTAAGGTGGTTTTGACTGATAGAACGAACGAGGATCTAATAACTAAAGGAATACACTATATGAAAACAAAATGAATAGATTGAGATAAACACTCAATAAAGTGGTTGTTGGGTCCAATGGACGAAATTTTTAAATAAGAGAACTGGAAAGTTTAGTAGGCGATGTATAGAAGCTAAGTATGGATGTGGCAGAAGCAAGAATGATTTATCAAGATAGAAAAATATGGTGAGTGCTTTAAATGTAAACTATATTTAGCTATAGTTCTTTGCTTTCATTTGTTTTTACTTTGCAAAATTTTGCTTACCTGGAAATGTAATCCCACACGAAATGTTTATTCTGGTGATTGTGTTGTGCCCCACCAGCGGCCAGGAGAGCTGACAGCAGATTTGAACAGTGAGGAGGTTGGGGAGGAATGTGGGCCAGTCCTGTAGTCTGGGGAAAGGCTGAGACGAGGGCTCTGAGTCAGAGGCAGAGAGGTGGCCAAGGCCATCTGGTAGTTCCTTGCTGCCTCCAGAACCTGACATCAGCGAGGCAGAAAAACAGTGAGAGCCTGTTCCCAGTGTGCGCATGCGCAGAGCTGCCAGAAGACAGGAACAATTTAATTTAATTTAATTTAATTTAATTTAATTTAATTTAATTTAATTTATTCAATTTATATGCCGCCCCTCTCCGAAGACTCAGGGAGGCTCATAATACATTTTAAAAAATCATTATAAAAAAACATTTAAAAATTAAAAACATTAAAAACATTAAAAACTCATTCATGGCATTCATGGCCGGATCTCGCCAGATCACAAGAGCGAGATCAACGGTCCCAGGCCTGCCGGAAAAGCCAGGTCTTCACCGCTTTTCGGAAGGCCAATAGGGTGGGGATGGTGGGGAGGTAATTAAGAAAACAGGGTCGATTTAGGGGTAAGGCTTGGAGATGATTGGCCCCTCCCATAAGATAAAAAAGCAAACAGGACATGAGCTTTTGCAGGAAGCAATTAGTTCATCTGGTCGGTAAAAGCTTTGGGAAAGTTCTGTTTGACTCTGTGCTAAGTTTGGCCTTGCCCTGCATGTAGCAGTTAGTTCTCTGGCAGCATTCCAAGGGAGATAAAGTGAGTGTTTGTAAACAAGACTGTTTGAGAAGCCTTTCGGACTGGGAATGACAATAATTCACAGCCGTATGAATAAAAGAGATTTGCCGGGACTAAGATAGTGCTGTATACTTTCTAAGTAAGCCTAGGTCAGAACAGGTTGCTCTGAATCTAGCGGACCTTGCCACTGAGAAGGCATGTAGAAAGGCAGCATCTTCAAATTATGTCTTGATAACTTGAGAATTTGGGAGAAAGATTATGCAATTGTTGTTTGTTTTAGATTTAGAAGGATCATTTTTCAGAGAAGGGCTCTATCTGCTTTAACATTGGCTGTATCAGAGTGGAAGTACGGCTTTTGAAATCTTTCCCAAAATGGGACTGAAAACGTTCTGTGTCTCTGATATAAATCTTATGAATAAATTTAAATAACTATGGTTTATCTGTGTCTACACCAGAATTAGGATTGGTATTTGAACAAATGGGACATACAAAACAAATCAGTGTTCAGATTCCTCTTCCACAAAATCTAATTATTCACTTGTAGCTTTTAATAAGGTATAGTCAATTTTTTTGAGACCATGAACTACACTTTTTAACTGTTTCTGTTAGATCGGCGCTGGAAAGAAACACGACTCAGCTCTGGTCCATTCAGCACTTTATTAGAATGGTGAAAAACAGACTGCCGGCAGTGGCTCCCGAGCCTCCTTATATTCTGCTCGGGCCAGCCAGCCGGCCAATGACAGCTGTTCAAACTTCCCGCCGGTGGAAGTGACCAATCCCCCGGTGGATGTCCTTATAAGGACATAACACCCCTCCCCTCTTAGTCCTCAGTCAATCATTCTGTGGCGTACGTGAGTCACATAGTCGCGCAGGTAGGCGGGATGGACAATGGTCCTACCTGACCTGCGCGGTACAATTCGCTCTCCGGTGCTGCTCCCGACGGGTCTGGCTCCTGCTGGTTCTCGTCCCCCCGGTGGGCAGTCCCGGAAATCGGCCGTTGAGTGTGCGGGGCTTCGCCTAGCGCCTCCGGCTGGAGTGACCAGCTCGCCCCGCGGCTGGTGGATTACCTCGTCGCTGCCAGATGATGTTGGGTCGGTTCCTGTCGTTCGTCACAGAGTCGGACTGGACAGCTGAATCCCGGTAGGACCCTTGGTTGTTTCTTTTGGCCTCTGGCTTGCTTCTGTGGGCTTCCCCGGTCAATGGTGGTGGGGTGTTGTAGTCCTCCCCTGCAGGGCTGGCGTTGGGTCCTCTTGGTGTGATGGCGCCAGTCGACATTGCTGGGGTGGTGGTGGTCGACTCTGCCGGGTTGGTGTGGATGCGGGGGGGTGTGGATGGTTGATGTCCTACCTCGCTGTGCCGGCGTAGGTCTCCCTCGTCTGGCTGGCTGATGTCGACTCGGTCAGGTTGGTGTTGGTTTTCCGGGTCGGGTTGTCCCCGGTCTACCTCGTCCTTGTACTGGTGATGCCATGTCTTGGAGGGTCGCTGGCCATCGTTGCCGTTGGCTTGGTGCCTCGTCCCGCTGGGTCGGCCCCAGTCTACTGGGCTCTGGCTGCGCTGCTGGCGGTCGTCCCCTTCGCCGTGAGGTTGCGGACCTACCCTGTTGGGGTGGGGTAGGCCTATCTCGCAGGGGTGTTGCAGCCGACCTCGTCTGGGTATGGCAGGCCTACCTTGCTGGGGGGGTGGTAGGTCTACCTCAACGGGGTGTTGTAGGTCTACCTCGTCTGGGTGTGGCAGTCCTACCTCGTCGGGGTGGTTTCCTTCAACTCCCCTCCCCCTTTTGCGGAGTTGGTCAATGTGCCTTCTGCATGACCGGCCGTCATCCAGCTCCACCTCGTATGATCTTGGGCCCATCATTCTCCCGATCCGACCCTTGATCCACTTCTGCTGGCCCTGAAAGTTGAGCGCGAACACCAAGTTTCCGCGAGCGAAGCTTCACATCGGTGGTGGGTTGATCGGCTTGTCTTTCGGGTTGTACTGTGGATGGAGTCTATCTAGCGGTGAGCGGAGCCTTCTCCCCATCAGAAGCTCGGCTGGGCTTTTCTTTGTTGTGGCGTGCGGTGTGATGTGTTGTGCCAGCAGGAACTTGTCGATTTGTTCCTGCCAGTCTCCTGGGCCCATCCTGGTGAGCGTGTCCTTCGTGAGCCGTACCATTTTTTCTGCTTGTCCATTTCCAGCTGGCCTGTATGGGGCGATGAGGGCATGCCGGATGCCTTGGCTTGCCAGGATTCCTCCATAGTCTTGGCTGTGAGTTGTGGGCCGTTGTCAGAGACCAGGACATCCGGCAGCCCATGTGTGGCGAATAGGCGGTGGAGTGCCCTGATGGTGGCCTCTGTCGTGGTGGATGGCATCGCGATGACCTCCAGCCATTTTGAGAACGCGTCCACGACGATGAGGAGGGACTTTCCGTTCATTGGCCCAGCAAAGTCGATATGTATTCTTGACCACGGACCGCTGGGCTGCTCCCACTCTGTCGGCTGGGCTTGAGGGGGTGCTGGTCTCGTCGCTTGGCACGGGTCACACCTAGCGATCCACGCCTCTATGTCTTTGTCCAAGGCAGGCCACCAAATGTAGCTCCGTGCCAGTGCCTTCATGCGAACTATGCCCGGATGGCCGCTATGGAGGATTTCTAAGGTGCTCTTCTGTAGTGTGGGAGGGATCACGACCCGGTCACCCCAGAGGAGGCAGCCGTTCATGGTGGCCAGTTTGTGCTGCCTCCGTATGAATGGGGTGAATTCTTCGCCCACTCTTCTGGTCGGCCAACCCCTCAATGTCCATGAGAGTACCTGTTTGAGGGTCTTGTCCCTCAGTGTGTGGGTTGCCACCATTGCAAATGACACCGGGCATGTCTGGTCATTGTCTATGTAGTAAAGTCCGAGGGTAGGTGCTGGGTCAATGACTGGTTCTCGCAGGGGGCATCTGCTGAGGCCATCAGCATTGCAGATGTTCTTGCCAGGGCGATGGATGAGTCTGTAGGCGTAGCCGGAGAGGAAGATGGCCCAGCGTGTCATCCTGGGTGACATGTAGGGTGGCGTTGGCTTGTCCCCGGCAAGCAGTCCAAGTAGAGGCTTGTGATCGGTGACAATTGTAAACGACCTTCCATACAGGTATTCATGGAAGCGTTTAATGCCGGCTACGATGGCGAGGGCTTCCTTATCGAGCTGGCTGTAGTTCCGCTCCGCTGATGACATGGTTTTGGAGAAGTAAGCAATGGGGGCTTCGGTGCCGCTGGGCAGCTGGTGGCTGAGGACAGCTCCGACTCCATACGGTGAGGCGTCACAGGTCAGGATCAGTGGGAGCGATTCATGGTATTGGATGAGGACGCTGTCGGAGGAGAGAAGACTTTTGATTTTCCGGAATGCTGCCTCTTCTTCCTCTTCCCGCTTCCAGCGTACTGCCTTCCCTAGCAGGCGGTGGAGCGGTTCAGCAACGGTGGCTTTCTGGTTCAGAAAAACACTATAAAAATTCAGCAGACCCAGAAAAGCCTGAAGTTCCGTTTTTGATTTGGGGGCTGGAGCCTCGTGTATAGCCCTGACCTTGCTTTTGGTGGGGTGGATGCCCTTGCTATCGATTAGATAGCCCAGGAACTCAACCTCCTGGACCCCAACAATGCATTTGTCCCTTCTAACTCTTAGGCCCTTTGCCTGGAACCGCTGTAGGGCAAGCCTGAGCTGTTCCATCAGTTGGGCTTCTGAGTTTCCAGAGATTAGTACGTCATCGAAGTAAGGGACCAGCCCAGGAATGCCTTGGAGAAGGCGTTCCATCATTGATTGAAAAATTCCCAGGGCGGCGCTGACTCCAAATTGGAGACGGTTGCACTTAAAAGCCCCCCTATGTGTGACGATTGTTTGTGCCTCCGCAGTCCTTTCGTTTACTGGCAATTGCTGGTAAGCCTGGGCCAGGTCCAGTTTCGTGAAAATGGTCCCGCTGCCAAGCGAATGCAACAGATGTTGCACCACTGGCATGGGATATGCACTCTGCGGCAGTGCCCGGTTGATGGTACACTTATAGTCGGCGCAGATGCGCACAGATCCATCATGCTTCATGGGAGTCACAATGGGGGTCTCCCATGCCGCATGATCAATCAGTTCCAGAATGCCCTGGGCAATTAGTTTATCTAGCTGGGCATCCACCTTAGGCCTGAGGGCAAACGGAACTCTGCGGGGCTTGAGCCGAATGGGTACAATTTTGGGGTCTAAATTGAAAGAAATTTACCTAGGCTCCCATCAAAGACGTCCTTGAAGTCCTCTAATAGCTGGCCGAGTACACTAGCCTGAATTTTGTTGATTCCGCCAATTGTGAGCCCTAGGGGCTTGAATCACTCCACGCCTAGTAGGGTTGGACGGGCTTCCTTGACGACAGCGATGGGGAGGCGTCCTTCGAAGTCCTTGAACTTCACCCAGATATTGGTCCGTCCCAGGATGCCGATGGAGTGCCCTCCGAAATCCACCAACCTCACTTGGAATGGCTCTAGCTGTTTCCTGGATAGCCGCGGTTGAAGTCTTTTTAGCTGGTCCCAGGCTATGATGGAGTACGGTGAGCCTGAGTCTCTTTCCATGGGGCATGGGGCCCCTTCCACGTAGACGGTCAAGTGGAACTTGTCGGACCCCTCTGCTGCAGCATGTGCAATTGTTGTCTGGTGGATCCCTCTGCTCTTGGGGTGGCCGTCGCCGTCTCGCTGCGGGTACTGGGACTGTTTGGATGTCCTCTGGTATTCGCGGTCCATGGGTCCGGGAGGCTCGAAACTTGGCTCTGCCGCCCTGCAGGCTTCCGCAATGTGGCCCTTCCTCTGGCAGCGTCTGCAAGTTGCATCCCGCCAGCGACATCTGGCGCGTGGATGGTCCCCTTTGCAGCTGGCACAACGTTCCTCCCATCCGCCATCTTGGGTTTTTTCCCACCGTTGGGGTCTTGTGACCTTATGGACGGCCATCTCAGAGTCAGAGTCTGACCCCGTAGAGGTCTCGTCCGATGATGGCTGTGGGTTCCTGCGGACCTTGTGGATCCCCTTGGATCTTCTCATTGCGGCTGCTGCCCTATCGGAGGACTCGGCGGCTGTGGCTTCCTCGATGACCTCTTTTAGGGACACTTTCTTTCAGCTGAGGAGCTTTTTCTGGACTGTGCTGTCCCTCATGCCGAAGACGATGCGGTCCCGCAGCTGAACGTCCACGTTTTCAAATTCGCAGCTGGCCACGATCTTCCAAATTCCTTGACTGATTCTCCTTCTGCTTGATTTCTCTGGTGGAAGTTGAATCGGTTGGCCAGAGGCGTGCTTACTGGGGCGTAATGGTCCTGGAGCACTTCCTGCAACTCAGACCACGGCATCTGCTCGATATCCAGCGGTGCCACGAGGTTCATGGCCATTTCCAGGACCTCCGACCCACAGTGCGCCAGGAAGAGAGCCCTCTTTCTGCTGTCATCTAGGTCTGTGAAGCCGCTTCCCGCCAGGAACTGCCTGAAGCGAACCATGAAGGACTTCCATTTCTCAGTGCTCGGGTTGAATGGAGCCATTGAGATTTGTGGTCCAGACATGGTAGTGACTTAGCTCGTGCTTCAGCTCTTTGCTTAAGGTGGCAGTTGGCTTGCAGCTCTTCGTCGGTTCTTCTCTAGTCCTTCGTCGCCAGTGTTAGATTGGCGCTGGAAAGAAACGTGACTCAGCTCTGGTCCGTTCAGCACTTTATTAGAATGGTGAAAAACAGACTGCCGGCGGTGGCTCCCGAGCCTCCTTATATTCTGCTCGGGCCAGCCAGCCGGCCAATGACAGCTGTTCAAACTTCCCGCCGGTGGAAGTGACCAATCCCCTGGCGGATGTCCTTATAAGGACATAACAGTTTCAATTTTAAATGTTTATGGAGATTCTCATCCAGGTGATGGTTGTCTCTAAGGTGCTTTTCAAAAGGCAATTGGGCTTTCTTGGTTTTTTTCCTTGAAAAAGTTTTGCTTCTCATCTAAGAAGTTTTTTCAGAACTGAAGAAGCATCTTGGATGAGAAGCAAAATGTTTTCAAGGAAAAAGGCAAGAAATTCCAGTTGTCTTTTGAAAAGTACCTCTGGGATATGTTTCAGTTTTATTTGCCTGGGAAAGCAATGGATGGTCTGAGCACACACTGGAAGATTCAAAGGAATTGATTGGATGTCTTTCATCTCAAGCTTTGCTCACCCGTGCCACCCTTTCTTTTGTTCCCAAAGAAGGAAAAGTCACATCATTGAAAAGCAGTGATTTTCTTTCAGATGTTCTAAAAACTAGGGATGAGATGGAGAGTCTCCATAACCACCTGAGTTGGGAGTTGCCCAGCCAGGAGGATGTACTGGCCAAGTGTGGCATCAAGGAGACTCAAACTGAAGTCCACTCTCTGGCGTGGAAGCTCAATGGATGATTTAAGGCCAGTCACTCTGTTCCAGCTTACCTCAGAGGGTGGTTGTTATGGATCCCATCAGTAAAGAATTTCAACTGGTGGGGTCTAGGAAGAAAGCTTTCTCTTCTGTTGCCCCTGCCTTATGGAACATTCTGAACCCTGAGATAAGGCAGCCCCCCCATTCTTCTGGCCCTCAGAAAAGCTTGGAGACCTAGCTCTGCCAGCTAGCATGGGGATCTATGAGTAGTAGGCAACCCTGGGATGGGTGGTGGCTTGTGGGCACTTTCACTGCCTTTTTAGACTTTGCTTTCAATTCTGTTTTCAATTCTGTTTCTAATGCTGTTTTTTATGTGGTTTTATGGCTTTTATTTATAAATCGCCCACTCAGAAAGTGAAATGGGCAGTGTATGTATTTGATAAGTAAATCAATAAAATGGGAGGAGGGAGTCATTACATATCATCTTCAGCTCTTTCAGAGAAAATGGGATATTAAATAAATGCATCCACGATTTAGATGTATAGTAATATCCTATGAATTTGGGGCAATAAAGGAATACCAAAAAAAAAAAAAAAACATTTTCCTGTTCTGTGCAGGATTGCTGGATGTAATTCCAATATTTGGAGCTATTATTGTTTTGTTTTGATGCTTTGTTTAGATTGTGCAATGCTGTTTAACAGAGGAAAAAGAGAAAGTGGGTACTATAGAATTAAACCACGACAGGACAGAGAACCTTTTCTTGTGTACTGTGATATGTCAGATGGAGGTGGTTGGACAGTAATTCAACGGCGGTGCAACGGCAAAGAAAATTTCTACCGGTAAGTTTTTGAGTGTAGTTAATAGCTCACCTGGAAAGACTTTACGGCTTCTTTATGTGCCATCCCAAATTAAGAAATGCCCCCACAAAGACAAAGATGTGCATAAAATTTGCAGACATTATTTGCTATGAATCACACACACACATTTAGAAAAATATATTTCCAAATGAAATGCAAGAATACATATCCCCCAGCTAGAATTAAGTCTTATTCTCAGTTTCTCTCCAGGATTATGGATTTCAAAAGCCAAATTGTGTTGCTTTATAGTTGCAGGTTTATCTGAAGACCTGGCAAAACTGATATTTTCTTTTGCAACATGGTAGTTCTGCAGGAGTTGTAGACCAACTGTTTTCCTGTGGCAAAAATTCCTGTTTTAGTTCCTGGCTCTGAGTTTTGGTGTTGTGTCTGTACCGTAATGGTTGCAATATACTGTATATACTGTGCCTCTGACCTCCCTCTATTTCAGCTTCTGTAGGAGCAAACAACTGTGGTTAGAGCTTTTTAGCTATGTATTTGGTTACAAAAATGGGATTCTTTATTTTCACAATATTCAAAAGGCTTTAAATGGAGAAGGCAGCTATACAACCAGAAATATATTTTTTTCTCAGAGAAACTGCTTAGATTTTTTTTTCAACAAGGCACAAATAAATGCAGACATTGTAAAGTAGAAATGTGGAAGGGGAGGCCCTAGAAATGGATTTTATTTCACTGAATACAAAGCACAGAAAGTATAATTTTGTTATCCCTGTATCTCTGCAGTAATTCAAGAGGGAGGACAATGGACAACATTTTTGGTGGTCTTATTTTTTAGCTGTGGATGAACAATGATTGACTCATGATGTTCTTTCTACTGTATGTTATCTCCATTATCTAAAAATAATACAGCTGAGATATTAATTAATTAATCAAACAAAAAATTAGCACAACCCAATTGGGGGCTTACAGGCAATTGGCTGGTAATCAGACGGAATGGCCTGAATACATACAATAACTGCCATTTTTACAGCAAATTCTAAGTAATATTCCTAAAAAATCTCATGTACACTGTCTTGAATTCTATCATGAAAAATAGATGTGATGTAAAGGTAATAATCATTAAAATACTATAATCACATATTACTTAGCACTAAGTTACTGAGCCTAATTCGTGTATACCTCTTTGTTGCAGAGAATGGCTCGATTACAAAGAAGGATTTGGACAATTACAGGGCAAGAATGATGAATATTGGCTTGGTAATGATAAAATTTATGATCTTCTTTTCAATGGTAAGGATACCTACCAATTAATTTAAACACAGATAAATCAATGTTTTGTATTAGCCTACTAGTGAATGCAGACATTTAGTTCTTCTTCATTTCTCTTATGATAAATTCTGGAAGAGTCTATTAAGAATAAATTATGTATAGTGGTAGAAATATGTTTGACCTCATAGTTTCTTCTTGCCTCCACACAAAATAGCAAGGAACACAGTATTGACGAACATCAAGGACAGGCAATGCGAGAATCTAGGCACGTTTAGGTGTGGAAGAACAGGAGAATAGTATATTACCAAGACTTGACCTGGTATGGGATATATACAGTATGGGAACAGAGGTGGGGTCCAGTATAGATTTCTATGGGTCACATTGCCCATGCTTATTTTTTGTGACTCCAGATAATCTTATTTATAATTAAAGTGGCCAGAACAGGTCTAGTTATGTTAGTAAGGAAGACTATTAATATCGCTTTAGGAATGCAATGTATTCTTCTCTGCCTAAAAAAAAAAAAAAGGAATGGGATACAGCAGTTAAAAAGGCCGGTGGGATCTCAGATCACATTACACATGAAATCTACCAGGATGTCAGTGGGTCTAGAAACCAAGCATTATAAATGTTTTGCTTGTAAAAAAAAAAGGGGGGGGGAGGACATGCTTAGTTTGCAAAATAGGAGATTATGGATGGATACAATAGCAATGTATACTACAAATGTTATACAGTATGCAAGGTAGGATAGGCCTATTCTGTGTTGAAACCAAGGGCAAAACAAGACTAATAAGCTGCAACAGAAGGAGATTTAGGTGGAATATTGGAAAGAATTTCCTGATGGCACCAACTGTTGAGCATTTATAGTTCCTTTAGACATGTTGTGGGTCCCCGTTTTCTCTTTGTTGGGCATTTTTCATTTGGCACCTAGATGACTGCTTGTTGGGATTGATTGAATTCCTGCCCTGACCAGTAGGCTGGACTAGATTTTCTTTAAGATACCTTCCAATTCATGTAATGTAGGATTAGCAAGATGCTGCTACCAATTGCTTCCTAGGCCCAATATTAAGGTGGTGATACTAATTTTTGATCCTCTCTAGATAATGTAGAGCTCAATCTTCTTAGGGATTATCAGTCCTCCTATAAAGATACTGTTCTCAGGAGCAGTTTTTGAAGTTTTTCCCCTCTCAGAGGCAAGTCCTTCTGGCAAGTGAGGAAGGGTCTTCCAGCTACTTTTTCTGGAGTTGCAGCTAGTCTTCAATCTCTCTGCATTTACAAAAAATATGTAAAATGCATCCATTTTGCTTAATTTTTCATTACTGAATGATGTCAGTATTAATTTTAATATTAATTATGATTCCTGTTTTTAACTTTCATACTGTGTTTGTTTTCTAAATGTTATTCAGTGCCCAAGTATTCATCAGAGTGAAATGCAAAATAAAAATAAAAATGGTTATGCAGTACAATTGAAGAGAGTGGCTAACCCTTTCTCCTTGTGCTGCTTTTCTGTTCTTAATGTAATAGTTGCTTTTTTTTCTTCTGCATGTAACATGGTTATAAAAATATTGAAACAAGAACCATAGCCTTGCTGGCCATACAGGGGGCTAGAACTGTAACCCTGACAGGATTTTTCCACCAGAAGTTAGCAGAAAATCACAATTTGTATAGTTTTCCATCAAGTTCAAGGGAGAAAAGATAGAACAAAGCCTTTAGTCATGCTTTACACACTTTAAATGTTTATCATCAACAATTCAATTAAAAATGTCTTGTTTGCATGACACCTTAATATCATCCCTGCCCTGTAGTTCTAATCCACCAAAAATAGTATTTTAAAAATGTGGTCCCTCAAGTGAAAGATTGCTCACTCTTGCAAAAATTGCAGTGAATGGTTCGCTATGCCTCTTATTAGCCAAAAAAAATTTTTTTTTAATATTCTAGGAGGAATTTCACTGAAAATTGATCTAATGGACTGGCATGGAGAGAGAAGATATGCAATTTATGATGACTTCCAGATCAGGAATGAGACAGTGAGTAGTTTGACCTATGCGGATGAATAAGTGGTCCTATAGACCTGTCATATGAGAGCTGGCAGACAATAGAACACTATGTCATCAGGATCCCCATTAGCTAATATAGTAAATGAAATATATGACCAAAGACCTATATAAACAGAAAACTGAAGCAATCTCCACTCAATTTGAGCTGAAAATCATGGGGAAAAAAGTCTTATTGGTAAATCGAGCTTCTAGAATAGAAGTCCAGAAAATCGTAACAATGATTCTAAAGAACCCACTAGGATCCCCTCAAGAGAGGTGAAATCATATCATAATTTGGAAACTCTTATGGAAGCATTCTGCTTCACCAGGGAAATGGCTCCCCTTCCCTCCATAATTACCACTTGCCATCCCTTCCTCCATTCAAATGCAGAAATGTCAAATAAGGGGTTGGCATTTAGAAAGCTACGTTTCCAAAGGCTGAGAAGGTCAAAAGAGCATTGTTGGCGCTTGGGAGAAGTGGTCGAAGGCGAGGCAGGGAACATCTGCATGCTGTCTTCATTTGTGGGCCATTAAACACTGCTAGCAGGGGCTCCATATTTAAACGGTGCCATTGTTGGGTGGGAATTATGGAATGCTACAATTTCTGCCTAATCCATGAAAAGCTTTAACTGGGTGCTAATCAAGACTAAGCATAGCTGGCTTCCATGTGATTAGGCTCTGAGGTTTTGTGATACTTTGTGATGGCAGCAGTCTGTGACATATGACTCGCTCCTTAATCTTGAAACTTAGTAACATGAGGTCCTGTGGCTTTCCTTCAGAACAATTACAGGCTATGGTTTGGCATTTATTCCGGGACTGCCGGGAATGCTTTGTCTGGGGGGAGCAACTTTGAGAGCCAATGGTCTGCATCACTCAACGGCATGCCCTTCTCTGCTCCTGATCGGGACCATGACAGGTTCCTAACAGGAAACTGCGCAGAAGAGAACAAATGCGGCTGGTGGTTTAACAGGTGAGTTAATTAGCAGCAACCCTTTTGAAGTCAAAAGAGAAGTCAATTGAGCAGAACTCCCTTCTCAATGTCTGAATTTGGTTTGCGATTTTGTGTGTCACACTCAGATATACCCATTGCCAGTTGTAGAGAAAAATAAATGTGATACAGAGATAGGTAAGGAAATCCAGGTTTCCTCCTTCTCCACAGCTAGGAAGCTTCACTGATTTATCTGAGACCAGGCACCCTCACTTAGCCTAATTCATCCCTCAGGATGGGGGAAAGGATGAAAAAAGATCCATCTTCAGTTTCCCTAAAGGGAAAGTGGACTTTAAAAAGATATGAACACAAATCAGTTTGCAAGCACTAGCATTATCTCCATGTCTTCAGGAGGGGAGCACAAGAACCTCCATCCTTTCCATTGCTGCTATGCTCAAATGCAAGGTTTAGAAAAAAAAATTATTATTAACACAATTTCACGTGGCAAAAGGTGAACAAGGAGAATTGCAATGTAGAGAACAAAAGTACATTGGTTCTCTTCGTGGGCCAAATTATGTAGTGCTTTTGCCAAATAAGACTTAAAATAGATCAGTTCTCCACACGTCCTAAAACTAGATAAAGAGAACCCAATTAAAAGCATTATACTTGTTCATTGATTTGTTGAGTAAAATGACCCAAAGCTACAAATTGCTGCAAGGCAAAAGTATGTCAATTTTTGTTTCAGTAACCAGTGTATCCTCATGTGGCAGCAATAACTCTGCCAGCAACTAAATGTTTCTGAAGACTGTTGATCAACCCTGCATAATTGGCTTGGAGAAATTTTTGCCCATTTGCTCATTCCTCCTTGAAAAACTGTTTCAAGTCACGAATATTGTCGGGCTTCCTCTCCTGAACTGTCTGCTTCAGGTCCTTCCACATTTCTATGGGCCTAAGATCAGGCCTTTGACTTGGCCGTACCAAACATTAACTTTCTTCTTTAACCATTCTTCAATCATACAACTTGCGATTGTTGTTTTCTTGCTGCATGATCTTTCTCTTGAGCCTCAGTTCACGGAAAGGTACCCTGACACTTTCATACAGAATTTGCTGATATAATTCAGAGGAACTCATGGTTTCATCACCAATGATGGTAACCTGTCTTGGTCCAGAGGCAGCAAAGCAGGCCCAAACATGATACTTTCACTACTATGTTTCATAGATGGGATAATAAGGTTCTTATGCTAGAATGCACTGTTTATCTTTTACCAAATATGATCAAGCGGAAAGGATTGCTTTGGTCTCATCTGTCCGCCAAACATTCTTTCCAATAGCATCCTGGTTTATCTATGTGCTCTTTTGCAAACTGTAGAATGTTTTTTTGGGGAGGGAGGGGGGCAGAGCAGTGGATTTCTTCTTACAATCCTGTCAACATATACCATTGTTCTTCAGTGTTTTCCTGATGGTGGCTCATGATTCACCGATGCAAAAGAGGATTTTATTTCCTTAGACATTACCCTAGGATTTTTTTAGATTTTCCCTTGGTTATGATCTTGGTTGGTCAACCACTCCTGGGAAGGGTAACAGTGGTGATGAATTGCCTCTATTTCTAGAGAGTTTGCCTGGCAGTTGACTGGTAAAGTCCAAACTCTTTGGAAATAGTTTTGTAAGCTTTTCCACTCTGGTGAGCACCAACAACTATCTTTTAGATATCTTCAGAAATCTCCTTTGTTTGACACCCTTCCACATAGTACCTCCACGTGTTATGAAGATCAGATTTTGATAGTGAATTCCCAGAATTCTATTCTTTAAATGAGGCAAGACCTCCTATACAATGCTTTTCACTCATTTAGTTTAAATGGGTTCTCTCTCTCTCTCTCTCTCTCTCTCTCTCTCTCTCGTTTTAGTATTGTGGGAAGAGCAGATAATTTTTTAAAGTATATAGAAATACTGAAAATTCAGAAACTAAGGATCATTGTATATGTTCCTTTTCCAATCCTGCAATCCTTCATCCATCTTTTCTTCCCATCTTCCTTCTATTTAAAAGATTACCATTAACTGAAGGGCCCCAAATGGAAATAGCATGAATTCAAGAAAATATAGATCAGGCAACAGGCCAAGTGGTGGCGTAAAGAAGCTCGTGTGGTTTTATTATAGAAAATGATCAATTTTATTTAAGGGCAACTAGTTAAATTGTAATTTTTCATATTAAACAAAATGTGTATGCTACTTTCTTGATCTGGTGCCCTTCAGCTGGGTTGGAACATCCCCTCCCCCTCACGAATCCCTAGTTCTGCTCCAGTGCAACTAAAGGTCACCTGGTTGAAAGACAATTCTAACACCAATTGGTCATAATGTAATATCTGGTGATAATTAAGATTTATATCATTTTATCTACTAATCTGCATTTGGGCCATTCCCTGGCCTTTCATTAACATCCTTTTCTGTTTTTTTTTTTTCCTCTGACATTTCCACAAGGTGCCATGCAGCAAATCTTAATGGACGATATTACAAGAAAGGGACATACTCCGGTCCCTTTGATAATGGAGTGGTTTGGTCAACCTGGCGAGGCCTATGGTATTCCCTGAAATATACAGCTATGAAAATCAGGTTCCAGTCCTTTCTGGATGGAGAGAGTGGAAATGGTGAAATCAACTGAGATTTTTTTTTAAATGCACGTTTGAGAAAGAGAAGCAGGCATGCCAAAATTACTGTATATGTGGTCCTTGGCTTGAGACTTAGCATACTAAAAAAAATCTTACAGTAAGGAGCATGGTACAATAAGGAGCAAAATTAGAGTTTGCTTTGGTTTGCCAATCATTGTATTATCCGTGTATACCAGCTGACAATTAAAAAGACGGCTTTTCATATATACAGAATCTGCCCTCAAAAATGGGCCTGGAGGAAAAAAAAGCCGCTCTACTTTGTTGAAGGCACAAAGGACAATCCTGCTTATTATTTATCTTTCCTTTACAAAAAGTATTCAGTTGTTGAATTCCCGCTTTCCATAAACTGATACTTTTAAATTTGTTTTTGGAATTCATTTTGTTCCCCCTCTTCCAAAAATTAACCACCCTTCAGGGAAATGTAGAAAAAGAAAACGTTGTATGTCATTGGGAAGAAAGGGTTTTATGGTACATAAAGAGAGAATGAAATCAGTTTCATGTGAATCCCATCAGAGACTTTCTAAGGAAAGGAATGGGTTTCTGACTGCTGTAAGATTGAATGAATGTTAGATTGGGAAGGCAGGTTTACCTGGAATCTCCTTGTCCTTTTTAAATTTGTATTTTCAAAACTGATGACTTTCTTAAATTTGAAAAAAGGAAAGAAAAGTGAAAATCTTGACAGCTGCCTAATTAAGTATACAGCTAGATGTGCATTTTCACAAGAGTTTTTTTTAATTATTCTCAATAAGCACCATATGTTAAAAGCTGTCACTTTTCAATTTATAATGTTTGAAATATTACAAATCCATGATGGGCTAAGTGTAGCTTTGGGATGGATGATCCCAAAGTTTTGGGATGGATGTTCTCTCAGCTTTCTGGTAAAATGTGAACTATTATATTAATTCCTAATGTGTGAGAAATTATCTAGTACATTTACATCAGCAATATTTAATGCAATTAAACCAGCAGCAATTGCAAAAAGACATAATTACAATTATATCATTGTCTTTCAAACAGCATAAAAATAAACATTAGTTCATTGTTTATCAATGTCTAGAATTTGTCCATTACAAAACACTAATAACATTTCTTGTTTCACATTACATTTTTTCACTTACATTTTCTGAAACAAACACTTTCTATTACTATATGTCAGTGGGAGAAACCAAGCCCAAACTGCTTAATTTTAAACATTCTTCAACTGAAATTTATTGAAATTTGCAAAAGATATGTTTCCTTGTAGGGGGAATAATCTTTTTTAAGGTGGATTCTTCTGAAGCAGACTATTGCTTTGCGACTGAGTATATCTAACAGGCTTGGCAAATTTGTAATTGGAGTTGCTGTGATGCAAACAGTGGTTAAAGAAGCATCCAGTGCTTGTCCAATAGAAATGAATAGACTGGCTATATTCCAGCTGTGCCTGTAACCACACTAACCTCTTAACTAATACCAAATGCAGACCTCCAAGTCTGATTTTATAGACCACTGAATGCCACGGTGTAGAATGTCAGACATTTTCACAGTCACTTAGCAGCCATTGGCGAGGAATTCTGAGGATAGTAAGGGTAACCAATTTAAAATGTATTATATGCTCCAATACCATTGTCCAATACTGTAAACTGTATATGTAAGCATACAGGGTAACTTTGGCCCTAAAGAGTCTATTTCTGAGATAGTTTAGAGAGAGACTCTGCACAAGTACATATTTAGTCATTATTTTTGTGTTAGGGTATCATTTACTTTTCCCAAGTTTTGGCCTGCTTCAATGGAATGATAATTAGGTCTCCTTCCCTTCTTAAGGAGTTTTCTGTTAAAGTACACTTTGAAAGTTTAAGAGTTTTTGCAGTTGCTAATGCTGCAGCTTCCCTTTTGCCCACAATAAATTCAGATCACCAAATTTTCAGCAGTCAAAGTACTTATTTCACCTTCATTTAACTCAAAATATCCAGGCAGGTCATACATTTGTTGTTCTGAGTCAATCAGAGCAAAGGAAGTGTTGTCATAGAAGTGGCATCCAGTATCAGATGGAAAGCTTTGACATTTGCTCTTTCTATACTGCGAGGGACTCAGGGTCTCTGCTTTCTGATGATCATCCTTGAGAGTTAGGAAAGTAGACTCTTTCCTCCAAGTACTGGCAGGGTTTAAAAAACGTCCACTTCTGGTTCTCTTATGCTCTGAGTTATCGACGCAAGATACGAAAGATCCCAGTGGACGATTGTGAACCAGATCTGGTGTCTTCTCTGGAAGCTTCTGTTTGTGAGCAATATGTCCCCCCCAGCTCAATGACTCTGTGGTCAACGGAATGCTGTGATACAGTTCAAGTTCCGTAGTGTTCTGTGCTACATTTTTAGATTTAACGCAGTGTTGTTTTTCCATAACATGATCCCACACTTTGGCTCTGCAGTGGTTGAATGAAGGCTGACTTGGCGTCAGGGTAGACATGCTTCTTTTCCGAAATGGCTTTGCTTTTCTAGTTTCATGAAAACTTGCTGTTCTTCTGAACTGTGAACTTTTTTGGTATCCTCTTTCTGTTGACTCTCCTTTGTTATCAAAATATCTGTGATGGCTTCTCCTCATTGAGGAATGACCAGGGCTCCACACGGAATCGGCCTGCAAAAATGTACTATCCATTCTAGAACAGGGTCTGTCCCCTGATAACTTTAGGTAATCGGGTGGCTGTTCTGGAAATGGAGATTTTATTCTAAACTTACTTGCAGCAGCTACCTCTTGGTTTTCTGTTTTCATTGTGTCCATGAGAGAGTTCTGAGCCACATGATAAAGTTTGGTTGTTTCTTTAAGTCCCTTTTTCTTCATTTCTTTCAACTGCTGCTGGGCAAGGCGATAGCTGTAAATGGGAGGGATGATTTTTTGAGCACTGGACTGCAAATTTTCATGAACTAATCCTCCTCCATCTTCGGGGACCAAATGAAGGCTTCTCCTGAAATTCAAGGTTATATCAGAAGTGTCTCCTGGGGAAAAACAAGAGGCTTCTCCCTCAGAAAAGCTTTCCTGTTGACGTCTGTCTGGACAAATATCCTCTTCATCAGAATTTTTTCGGAAGCCAGATGAATGAGGGGAGTCACAGTTAACTGGACTGCTGCACTTCGGGGTTCTGCAAAGCTTTCGCCATAAGGTGATAAGGATGGTTGCAAAGATGATAGATAAGCATAATGATATCCCAGTGATAGTTATTAGATTATTGGCAGCTCTTTCTCCTTCCATTTCAGGAGACAGTGGTGTGAGGAGGCCAGTTGTGGTGACTGAAACAAAGAGCAAAGACATCAGATAACAGACAGTTTATAAGTGCCAATCAACCCAACAAATTAAAATGCTTACTGTTTCTCACTCTATGGCCTTAAAGCACTTTGTAAACTACTTCAGCATTAGCTTCCTGATATCACTTTATGCCAGAAATTCACTAGTTAAAATGCAATCTTTTAACAGACTGATTTCTGATGCTTAAATATATGTAGCTTTGTAGTCACTGCTTTTTACTCAGATATGGTGTTGGAGCTGGCCCAAAATAAGTTTGGAGCCAATTTTCCCTCTTTCGTAACTAAAATTTATTGCACAATTAAAACATAGTACAAATGTGTGCTATTTGTGCAGAAGTGACAGCTTCATTCGAAATGGCTGTTCTAGCTATTCAGGAAACAAGGCATTTATTGTAAAAAAAAATCTACTTTACTGGGACATTTTAGACCTGCTCTTCGTGTTTTGTGAAACATTTTGTGAAACATTTTTGAGATATGTAAATTAAGAGCGCATAAAAGAAATAAGCTTGCCATCTCAACTTAATCAGGTATTTAGACCCACACAATGCTCTGTTGACCAGGAAGTGGACAGCACCAAACACAGAAATATTCTCTCTAAAGTAGGACTTGTAGTCAACCTTGTTTTGAGACAGAGCAAGCTCTGTATCAACCTAAATCTTTTAGCTTGACATGCTGTGGGCAGCAATTCCAAATAGGGCTTATCCTGGGTTTCTTAGGAATTTTGTAATCTTGGAGGTAAGGTTAAAAACTGTTAAAGACCATGTATTTACATAGCTGTCACTCAAGAATAATTTTATGACATCAATTGGTCAATGGGTCTACTTGTAGTAAGGATATGTATCTCAATATGTCCCTGATGGTGAACCTATGGCACGTGTGCCACAGGTGGCACGCGTAGCCATATCGGTGGGCACGCAAGCTCAGCTCCGGAAGTTGGCAAATGGGCCATTTCTGGCCTCTGGAGGTCCTCCGGGTGCGGTGTGGAATGCCGTTTTCACCGTCCCGAAGCTCCTAGAAAGGCTCTGGAGGCTGGGGAGAGCAAAAACGGGGCTTCCAGTCCCACCGTGCCATTGCATGCCAGAAGTGGGGGGGAGCGGGGGGGAGAGCATGCACATGTGTGGGGGGTTGCATAGAATTATGGATGTGGGCACACGTGTGCGTGACCACCCCTCCCCCCCTGCTCCTGGCACACGATGGCAAAAAGATTAGCCATCACTGCAATATGTAAACAATATATGGCAGCCTTTCCCAACCTTATGCTCTCCAGATCAGGGGTGTCAAACTGGCGACCCAGGGGCTGGAAGTGACACGGGCAGGCCACACCCACCCCAGCTCCGCGAAGGGAAAAACGTCATGATACGTCATGTGATCGCAACATGACGCCACAAGTTTGACACCCGTGCTCTATGATGTATGGGCTTGCAACTTGTAAAATTTCCAGTGCATATATAAATATTATACTACATTTTCACTGGACTCTAGGTGGCCTTAAATGGTAGTACCCTTGGAAATATTGATTACATGAGTACATTCAAGTGTGTCACTCAGACACAGCTCTATACTTGGGTTTCCTTCCCAAGGGGCTGCCTGCCCTAGACTTCCATGCTGACTGTTGTCCCCAAACAATATATTGGGCAGAGAGATCTCTTGAACACATACAAAAATATTGCAAAGTTGTATAGACTATAGTGTTTTTGAAACATCAAGCTTACATACTGGGACATTCCTCCAAAGAACACGGAGAAGTTTCTTGTTGCCTTCCTGGGCAACCTTGCACCATGTGGACTGGGGAAGGCATGACGCATTCCCGAAAACGCTCACGAATGCCACCTCCACAAGTGGCACTACACGAACTCCAGGCTTGCCAAGTGCTCCAGGATCCTCCTAGGAGAACATAAATTACGTTACTGTAGGAAATGTTCTCTGAAAGCTATCAACCATCCTGCACAAAAAAGCAAGATAGATGAATTTATTACTTCTAAAGAGTAAATGGATTCAAATTCCTTGTGGAAACTGAAATTATACCCCCCAAAAAATACAGTCAGCCCTTGACCCGTGCGATCGTCAGAGCCTTTTTTTTTACTTTTAAAAGCATTTTTTAACAACCTATTCAGCCAAATAGGTTGTAAAAAAATGCTTTTAAAAGTAAAAAAAAAAAATTGCTCACCACAGCTGATCACCCACCCCGCGCGCTGTTCTACTTACCCCATGCCTCCTTTTGGCATGCATGGTGCGCACTGCGCAAACACAAGCGCATGCGCAGCCAGTGAACCGGTAGTAAACCGGTTCAGATTTCACCACTGGTTTGCCCCATTTTTACGACCTTTCTTGCCTCAGTTGTTCAGTGAATCACTGCAGTTGCTAAGTTAATAACACGGTTGTTAAGTGAATCTGGCTTCCCCTTTGACTTTGCTTGTCAGAAGGTTGCAAAAGATCACGTGACCCTGGGCCATTGCAACCGTCATAAATATGAAACGGTTGTAAAGCATCCAAATTTTTAACACGTGACCATGGGGATGCTGCAACGGTTGTAAGTGTGAAAAACAGTCATAAGTCTCTATTTTCAGTGCCATTGTAACTTTGAACAGTCACTAAATGAGCTATTATAAGTTGAGGACTAACTGTAGACCATTAGTGGCTTCAGTGGTTATGGGGTAGACAAAAAAATATGAGAAATTCACCAGATTGCAAATGGTAGCAGAAGATCTGGGGTATATAAATGCCGTACAGCAAGGTAACACAGCTGAAGCTGATGACCCTTCAGGAAAG